CCCACCCACACCCACACCCACGCACGCACACCCACCCCGCACCCACACCCCACCACCCACACCCACACCCCAAACCACTCACCCACAGTCACACACTGATCAGATTCATTTTTGATAGGGCTCAGTTTAAACTGAGTAGCTTTATTTGCAGTACATTATGACTGGTGCTTACGGTGTCCATGTACTAGTGGAGCGGTGATCGGTGGCCCGATGGCACGGCTAACTGGCGGACCGATGAGACCGGTGAACGAGGAACCGTTGACTAATCACACCGGTGGCCACCGTAACCATCCCATCCCTAGAATAAAGGATGCATACAAACTTTTAACTTATTAAATCAATACAATTTTTGCTCAAAGTTTAGAATTCTATAAAGAATCTGCTGACATCTTTTTATTCTTGACTGTATTTGTCAACGATCTTCTTCGTTCCTTATCTTTCCTCGGTTTTTTCAAAGTCGTTTGCTTTCTTCTCAGTCTCACATGTTTGAGCAGAAATTAAAAAGACACAATTGACATTATAGATTTAAATGAAAGTTAAATTTAGTCAAAAATTTGAATGTCATTACGGGAATATCGATTGGGAGCCTGTTACGATTGGTGAATCTGGTGCACAAGTCTATCGCAATGATACATTCGTATTAAAAATCCAGAGGATAGCAAAGCGACAAAGTCTTTTGCAGGAAAAATCGAGAATTGAATGGTTAAAAGGAAAAATCTCTGTGCCATACATTATTGATTATCAAGTAGACGAAACCTTTGAATATTTATTAATGAGTCGTTTACGTGGAATAGATGCAGCTCAAACCAAATGGAAAAATGATCCAATTAGATTAGTCCATCAATTGGGATCTGCACTTCGACAATTTCATGATAAAATAGATATTAAAAACTGTCCATTTGATGAGTGTGTCAATCAGAAACTAAAAGAATGTCTTGATCGAGAAGATGCAAATGATCAGTTGATTGCTGAGTTGTTTGCAAATGCACCACAAGAAGAAGAAGAACTTGTTTTTACACATGGTGATTATTGTCTACCAAATATAATTATCGATGAAGAACAATGTTGTGTTGTTGGTTTTGTCGATCTTGGACGTGCTGGAATGGCTGATCGATATAATGATATAGCTCTTGCTCTATGCAGTATTCAATATAATCTTGGAAATGATTATAGTCACATTTTTCTTGAGGGATATGGACTGTTCTCCAGTTGGGATGAAAAGAAAATTGATTTTTATCAGAAACTTGATCAATTGTTATAAAAATGATTTGGACCAGAGACCTCGAGCAGGGATGATTTTCGGCTGGGCAAGGTGAGGAGCATTTAAATCCCCGAACATCCCCTGTGTTCAAGTTTCATAGTGTAAATGGTTCATTTGAGTGTCGATATGTGCGTATCTGAATCTAATATATCAAAATAAATTGGTATGGCAGAGGTCGCGATGCTATTGAACTTCATTTTCGACAACAATTTTAAAGTCGATTATATGAAGATTATGATTTCTTGTGTCTCTTATGTAACTTTGATTTAGTTGATCCTTCTCCAGAAGGTATTCGTATCTTTGATAAACTCTATATATTTTGTTCTTCTAATGAGGAGGGGTGTGGATAGGTGTGGATGTTTACTTCAGACGCAATCACCTACATGAACACCCAACACCCACAACGACACCCCACACCCACACCCACACCCACACCCACACCCACACCCACACCCACACCCACACCCACCCCCCCCCCCCCCCCCCCCCCCCCCCCCCCCCCCCCCCCCCCCCCCCCCCCCCCCCCCCCCCCCCCCCCCCCCCCCCCCCCCCCCCCCCNGAACAAGGTTTGTTTTCTCCAATGATAGACCTTATTCTTTGTTTTTGTTTTTTTAATCGGAAGGCTTTTTAGTGCAAATAGAGACAATGTATTATATCGTGACACTATTATATTTCTATTCTTTCTTAGTTCTTTATTATTTTGACATTTCAAAAGCTATAAAATAACAATATTAAAATCAATTTTTGCTTCTATCATCCATCGACTAAAATCTGATCTTCATCGTTCACATCATCATTATGGTTATCATTCATGAGTTCTTCTTTAAATTGTTCTGCATTATGTTTAGTTAATTTCAGTTGTGCTTTGTATTTAATGCAATGCTTAGAAAAAAAAGTCAGTTGTTACTGCAGAATCACATGGTATATAGGGTGTTGGTATGGATATCGGTGCAAACAAAGAGACAACTAAACCTAGATCTAGATCCAAATCCATAACTAAACAAAGTGTATTTTCTTCAGATATTGGTATTTAATTGACAAAGTGAATTTTATGTTATTGCCTTTGTTTGTGATTGTTGATGAAAACATAATGTTTCTTTTGTCATTTCGATAAAGTCAATTTATTTATTCAAAGGTTGCTGTCATTTACTTTTGTTGTTTTTTTTTACCAAATAATTTTTTCAGAGCATTTATTCAAAGAAATGATCAAGCATCTTCCATTTTACAAAATATAACTTCAAAATGAACGAATATATGATGAATTCTAACTCTGTATAAATAATAATAAACTCTTGTGTGCTTTTATTTTAACATGTATGACATCATGTGAGACACTTTCGAAGTTTTCATAACGAAATACTGTTGGAGCATTTAAGTCAATGGGTTCGAAAGATTATTTGTATGGTTAAAAGTTTAAGAAAGGATCATATAAAGAGATATGCACCATCTACCTTTACCCAAAAAGCTGAGTAAATAGTGAATGGACATTTGCATATAATACCAACAATTTTCAATGACAAGTCATATCAAAATCTTGAATGAATTCAAGCCCATTGTTCATGAAAATTATTCAGTACTATACTGAGTCAGATTGTTTCCTTCAATAAACGAGGTCTAAATATACATGATCCACAATGTTATCGAGAACGAATCTTTCAATTGCATAAGTATTGTAAAAAAAACGACATCGTTTTACGTTCCGTTCACTTCAACTTGCAAGTTTTCACCATAGCTCATTTTATTGTGAGCTTTATTGACATGTTAACGTGAAATAATACTACATTTTGTTTTGTTCTTATTCTTTTCTGTTTTGGTTTTCTCCAAACATACTTTTATCAAATACATATTCAACGCATGAGAACAGCGACAACTAACAGAAATCTCTGTGATATAGGTGGCAAAGTGAAAGAAATATCCAGATTTGAACGTTGTTTGAAAATCGTCTGTTATACTCATTTTAGTGAGAATCGCCAGGAATTGAGTAAACAATTAGATAAAGTTGAAGTTACTTGTGACATTTTTCGACGAAAACTAAGTGAACTAACAACAAAAACACATTTTAGTACAACAAATTTCTGGTTGAAAATATAATTCAATTAAAATATTTCGACAATTTGCAGATTAAGTCAGACAATTAATATTGGGACATACGGCTAAACATAGTACTGAGATAGAAATTAAGTTAAATAAAATAACAGATCAATTGAGACGAAGTCGTCAAGAAAATAATTTTATTCAAGTAGATATGCTTGGCAGGAAACAACAACTTATTCAACTAAACGATGAACTTAATAAGCCATCAAATATTGCAATTTGACAAGATTCAAAGCCGTTTATAATCAAAATTTATTTCCATACATCAACTAATTAGTAAGTGTTGTGAATATTACTAATTTTATCGAAGATAGTGTAACCAAGATGAAAGATGAAGAAATGCCTCTCATGAGTTGAACCTTTGAAAACGAGGTAGTCGTAGCGTATCATTTAGAATTAATCTTTAGAAAAATCCTCTTCAATGATTATATACGACTGAAATAAAAAGTCCGTCGGGTTTAAAACTTTTGGATCTGGATCCGTATCCAATCTGACGAGCTCTACTGAAATATCATGTCTACTTGATTTATATCGACTGAGTGAATCCTGACATTGATTCTATTTCTGTTTAAAGCCATTCAAGCAATTTTTCATAGAGAAAACATACTCTCTGTATGTTATTCTAACCAATTGATTTGTTATCTTTCGATATTTCAATGCGTTCTCAACTTATCAAAATTTCAACAAGAATGATTTAAATGAAATAATAGTAAGATGAAACTTTTCCGGAAAAGTTAATCTATTACATTTGATAATCAAAAATATTCAATTTCAATTATAAAATTATCATCAATCATACACTACACTATAATGAAGTACTTAATCATTACTTGTTACTAACATTCGCTTGAGACCAATGGGATTCTATAAGAAAAGCGCGATGGGGGGAGACTTTTGTCCAGGTGTGTATTGAATTACAAGAAAAGAATAAGATAATTTATTTGAACAATATGTTTTTACTGTTTCACTAAATAGATATATATATATATGTATAGTTATATTAAAAACGAAAGTAATTAAAATTTTTTATAAATATTAGTATTAGACGCATGAGAAATTGCTACACCAAGTACAATGGATGAAATAAGACCAAATATTTCGATAAATAAAATAATACTTAATACTACAGCAATAAATGGTAATTTATTCCATACCCATAGAACAACTGCTTCAGCACAACATTGACTAAATGGAAATTCTTTTGGTATTTGATTTCTATAACAAGAATGAGGAATACTATAACCATATTTAGTATAGTCTGTATAACTATTAACTCCACAACATTTAAATTCTTGTTCTAATTGTTCAATAATTTTAATCATTTCAATTTGATTATAACGATAAGCATTTTGAAATATTTCTTCAAAACCAGAATCATAAGATTGCCATAAATCATTACGAAATCTTAATACTACAATAACAATAGCTAGTTTCAGTGAAATAATAAGACCTAGTATAATAGCATATGAATATAGAAAAAATCGATTTTGACACATAGCACCTAAACAACCAAATAATGCTAAACAAGATGTAAATACACCGACAATAATCATGATTGTTCCTATCCATTGCATAGATTCTTCTCCCAATGTTTGTGTTCTATTATAAGCAGCTGTAATAGCACTAAAATTTCCATTTACTTTAATATAAATACCCAAAATCAATATTGAAAAACCAAATATAAGAAATATGATATTCAATACCAATAATACTATACGGGTACATTGGACCCCACGCGAAAGACGAACCATATTTTGATGAATGTATTCTTAACAAAGAAGATATCAAAGAATTATGCGATGAATGTGCTTTCTTTTATAGAGATAGATAATGACATAATGTATAATTAGATGACACTTATTAAAGATAAAAACTAAAAATATGATAATACACTTAAGTGTTATCACACAATTAAGAAGAAATTTTTATATTATATAGTTTATTCTCATATGAGAACAAAATTTCCAAACTTCTGAGTATGAAACTAAATGAATTCAAAAATTTATTAAACAATCATTTTTTTTTCTTGTTTATTTTGACTCATATTAGTATATGTCTTTCATAATTACATGGTTACTAGGTGAAATTTCTTTTTTTTTGTCTTTTCCTTGCATAAATATCTTTACGTGTGAGAAAACATTAGCAGAAAAAAATGAGTACTGATGTTGATGTCGTTATCATTGGTGCTGGTGCAGCTGGTATTGCTGCAGCTATTGAATTACAATCAACTAATTTAAGTATTCTCGTACTTGAAGCTCGTAATCGTATTGGTGGTCGAGCATATACAGATGAAGAAACATTTACATCAATACCAATTGATCTTGGTGCTAGTTGGATTCATTCTTATGGATCTGAAAATGTGTTCTATGATTATCATGAATCATTTAATGTTGGCGAGAAAAAATATCGAACTGGAAAATATGGAATTTGTTTTGATTATGATGGTCAATATTTTACAAGTGAAACAAATTTTCAAGCCCGAACAATATGTGCAAAACTATTTCAACATTTAGACTTATTTACTTATAATAAAAAAAATAATGATGATTTAAGTATTGAACAAGTTATTAAGTCAGAATATGACCGATTAGTAATCGATGGACCAATTAAACGTTTAGTTGATCTTATGCTTTCTGGTGAAGAACAATATGAAGGATCAAATCTTACAGATCTTTCAGCTAAATCTCATGGACTTGGATCAGGTTCAGATATTGATCAATGGGTATCATTTGGTTATGGAAATTTATTAGAACGTATTGCTAAGAAACATAATATATCAGTTCGATTAAATACTTTCGTTACACATATAAATACAACTGATACTAATCGAATAGCTATAAGAATATTAAATGATTCATCAATAATTTATTGTCGTCGAGTCATTATTACAATACCTTTAGGTTGTTTAAAACATGAAACAATTTTATTTGAACCACAATTACCTGGTTGGAAACGTAATGCAATTAATCAAATGGGTATCGGTTTAATGAATAAATTAATTGTTCAATTTCCAAATAGTTTTTGGGATTCTGATATATGCTCTTTTTTACATGCATGTAATGAACGACGTGGTCGATTTCGTGCTACTATTTGTTTACCACCACCAGCAAATATTCTTATTCTATTTGTTACCGGTTTATTTGCTAGGGAATTAGAAACTTTAACAGATAATCAAATTCTTGAACAAGTTATGAAATTTCTTCGACAAATCTTTTCTAAAATTATAATACCTGATCCTATCAATTATAAATTTACTCGTTGGGGACAAGATCCATTAGCATATGGTTCATATTCAAATTTTGCTGTACATGCTGGTCCGCATACTATTGAACAATTAGCAAAAGAAACTTCTGATGGTCGAGTACAATGGGCTGGTGAACATGCTCATGTGGATGATCGTACTATAGATTGGTCATATGCTTGTGTTCATTCTGCTTTTCAAAGTGGACAACGAGCAGCAAAAACTATTCGAAATCAATTATGTTCTTCTTAAATATTCATATTCATTTCTCTATACGAATATCATAAAATTAATCCTATGTTTTCATTTCAATAAATACCTATGTATTTCTCTTATTATTGATTTTCTACACATATGATGAAAATGATACAACAATTTTATAGATCGTAATCATACTTCTTGTTTGTAGCAATGTATATGGTGAGAAGTATCTCGATTGGAGACATGTATAGTCATGTTTTTTTTTCTGGTTCCCATCTAAATGAAATTATTCCAGTATTTGTTCGTATTACATCGAGACTTACAACAGTGTGGGTGTGTAAAGAGAAAATTGATATTCCCATGCACAACCCACGTTCGCCCACATAAAGAAACGTATTCTCTTGACATTAGTTTTATTGTTAAATACTTTTTATACACTGTTATCTCTTGCTGATGTACTTATGCGTCTGTCACTCTTTCTGACCGAGAATCTCAAGACAAACGTTTTTTTGCCATTTTTTTTTCTTTCGGATAAATTAACGGCATTCTCGATTACGTTCAAACCTGTTAAAAAGTCAGGTCGGTTCGATTAGATTAAAAAATAAAACCATGAACTGCAATTGTCGCAGATCTAAAAATGGTTCAACTCTCAAAAAAAAGAATAAATTCATAGAACTGGGAGCTGTCCATAGGTCTAATTTCATCTAAAACAATTATTTAGTACTTGTTTCTTTTTAATATTTATTTCATCGACGACAAGCACTCTTTTGGTTCATCAAGTTCCGAGTAGGACAATTTTTTTTTCTAATTACATTCAATTTGATTATTAATCTATCATGTATTTCATTAGCATATGAACTAGAATTATTAATAATCGATAAAAACATATATAGTAATAATAGTGCAATGAAATAAAAAAATAGATTATCATGATCAACTTAGAGATTATTATAAGTTATCGTATGTGAGGAACGAGAAATAATAACAACAAATGTAAATGATTATTAGAAAATTTGGTAAATAATATGACATATTACTAATTCATAGAAATTTATTGAAAAAGCTAATTGACTATAGCATTGGCATAATCTTGATTAAAGATAGACTTAGCACATCAAATGTTTGTGGCAATATACTGTAATTATGTTTAATATGACCTTTAATGTTATCAGTACTGTAACCTTATAATTCACGTTCGATAAATTCAATACCAGTCATAGCTTCTATATTATTATAGATATGATGCAATGTCAAAACGTTTCCTAAGATCAATACGATAGTCTAATGTTGCAATAAAAACAATCAGTTAGATAAAGATAGAAAGAATGAGAATTACAGCATCGAAACAAAAAAAAACAATAATCATTTATCAAATATAACAACAAAATTCTGTTCATTGATAGATATCCTTTTTTTTATATCGGATATAGAGTCAAGCATCGGACTCCGAATCACTACAAGAAATTTTTTTAGAATCGGAGTAATCGTCAAAAATTCGCTAGTTAGAAAAATTTTTTTTTGACTCAATAGGGTTATAATTGAATATAAATATACGTGCTTTAAATATACTCATACTGATTATAACTGTTCCGATTGTATTAACAGTCTCTGTTTCTACAATTTTTCTTTATATTGAATCGAAACATATAAGAACAATTTGTTTGCTTGCCTTCATACATATATCAATATCCAATAATAGAATATCAATAACAAAATGTATACGATGAAAAATTTACATATATGTTTTAGCTACAGTTTATTTTTAATTAGACATAAAACTACGAAATAATTTTCTTTTATTTAAAAATAAATTCTCATTTTCACATACATAAAGCAAACATAGCATGTAGTTGTTTTTTTTTTTTCTTAAGTAGGCAGAGTATTAAATTTTATTTCTTCATATTATAATGCAGGCATCAACGAGTTTTTTTTTTGCGTCGACATCGAAAAATAATTTTCGAACGTATTTTTATGAGCAAATGAATTTAAATTTTAAATTTTTGGAATATTAAATTATAAGAGAAGACAATTATTATTCTATCAAAAGGAATATATGAACTAAAAAGTACTTCATTTTTTTTTTATTGAAACATTATTTAACAACATAATAATATATTTATACTTTGCCGATCATCTATTAAGCTTCAAGATTCTTTCTTACTAGATTTCAATTAAAATTAAACATAACTTAATATACGTAAATATTTATAATTAGTTCTTTATTCTCATATTCTGTGAAACACAATCTTAAAGAAGTATTTAAGTATGACATTAATAAGGGTTCATTATAATATATAAACTACGTAGTTCCTTTATTGTATTTCAGGCGGACTAGGGAGAAGAATGGTGAAGTAATATGTCCCAAAATATATAGAATAAAACAGCTGCATTGTGTTTCACATTTTATAATCCATCAGAGATTACACTAACAGCTTTTTGTGTTTTAGTTTTAGTTTTTGAATCTTTTAAAAACTCTGTTTTACATCAATTGAAGAAACGGAGTTACATGATTGATAATCTATTCGTTTTTTTAGAAAAAAAAATGAAAACCTTTGCATATGAATTGTCTTTATATAAGAAAAGGTAAGAAATATGACACAGGTATACATAAATGACATTTACAAGGAAAAAGAAAGATTTGTCCTACTGATCAAGACAAGCAACATACGATTGAAATTCACAATAAATCAATCATATAAGATTTGTAAATTATAGTTTCATTTCTAATGAATGTATTCATCGAAAAATAATAGTTTTTATTTTAATAAATAGTATTAGTATGATTTTCGAGGACATAAGATAAATCCATATAGATTCTATTTGTTTTTGTTAAAAATAAAAGCTTACAATTATCTGTATAGAATTTAGTTTTGAAATTTTTGTTCGATTAAATAAACTATTAAATTATAATAGAAGAAATTTTGCATTAGTTTATATTCTATTGAATGTTTCATTTCTTTTTTTTTTTTTGTATTACAGTTGATTTCTCTTTCTTTCCTAATAAACGTAATGAAGAAAAGAAACTTCAGAAAATGGATGATGAAAAATAAATCACAATTGAATTATGCACTTGTGTAATTTTATGTAAATGTAATCAAAATAGGTTAGTAATGTTTTTTTCTCTTTCACTTTTTTTTTTTCTCTTATGTGAAATCAAATAATTCAAAAGCTTTTTAATCTCTATTATAATAAATAAAAATATCATAGAAATTAATATAATATTTACAGTCTTGGTAAGATAAATATTGTTATTTATGTGTAATGATGTCTTTCAAATTTTCAATAATAAATTCATTAAAAAAGTTTTTG